AAGTAGAAGCAGAAGCAGAAGCAGAAGCAGAAGCAGAAGCAGAAGCAGAAGCAGAAGCAGAAGCAGAAGCAGAAGCAGAAGCAGAAGCAGAAGCAGAAGCAGAAGAAGAAGAAGAAGAAGAAGAAGAAGAAGAAGAAGAAGAAGAAGAGAAAGAAGTCTTTTATAGAGCTGAAGGAATTCCCAAAGGAAATTTTAAGCTTCAACAAATAAGGGTGTATTTTCTTTGATCAAATCAAATGGGACCAAAGAAAAGCACAGCAATCAAAAGCTGCATGGTTAACTCAATACACTGAGACGGACAACAAGGTACAGATATATTGTTCCTTACTGATTTCCTGTTTGCAATGATGAGAACTTAAATTCCAGAATTTTAATTTTATTGTCAAGGTCCTGGATGGCTTTCTGTGACTCCTGGAGTTTTCTTTTTCTGAGATCTTCCAGAATCATCATGAAAGATAACAGAGTTCATGTCACTGGAGTCCAAAATATATTACCACTGATACTTTACTATAGTTACTTTTCTTAGGCAGGCTCTGATTTTGTCCATAAAAATAATTTACCCAAGTTCATGACTTCCAGCACCAATAAGGATGGCCTGAAAAAGATTATTCTGGTGTCTGAAGACTATTATTTTGCAATCTGAAGAAGTCTTGAATTTTTCTTCATGGTGACTTGACTACTAAGGTCTTCTCACATGCAAAAATACCTGTGTGATGCCCACAATATTTGAAAGTGGTACTCAATAACCTCTGTGGAATTAAGGAGATGAAACCTTATCCACCCTTTAAAGCTATATTCTCTGAGTATTGGAAGACTACCACTACTTGACTGAAAACCTGCATTTGTTTAGCTCTAATGACCATTCTTTGTTTTTTGGTATATTTCTTATTTTTACCCAAGCCAGAGAGGAAAGGCCTGTCTGCTTTATAAGCAGAGGCAAAACAGTCATTTAAATAATAATAGTCATTTACCAATTATTTAGTATTAGTTGGAACTTAGCATGCTGGAAAACTTACTTCCTAGGAGAAAATAATAATTTCAAGATACTATTCATAGTTTACAATGTACACAGAACATTTGAAGCAGCAATTTATTAGATATTACAGTATTTTCCCTGCAGAATAGACGAGCTATTCATGATTACGACTAGGTCCAATATTTATGAAATATTCAGAAATGATTAATTATGTTTCATTTACAAATGAACTCTAATGGGAGACATTTTTATTACAAGGGCTATTGTAATGAATTGCCTGTCTCTATGAATTCATGTTCAATAGTGGAATAATTTATTTTTCTCCTTTCTACAGACTTTATATCTGAGCTTTCAGTACTTATTTTGTCTTTCCTTCTTCTATTTCACTCCTATGATCTTTCTTTCTTTGCCAAAGCTGGAGTCCTTGGGCATCTCTTCCTCCCTCACATATCACTTCCTCAGTCACATACTCAAATGATTGCTTGTTGTCTAAAAACTAAAAGTCTAATATTAATAGAATATTGATATCAATAGAATACGTACAGGTATTTATGTCTCTCGCCAACATAATTTTCCTGTTCTTCTCCAGGTTAACCATACCAGTTCTCACTAAGCCATACTCTTTTGTGTTCTCTGTGCTTCAGCTTTTGTATGCTTTCTTTGCTCGTTATGCCTTTACTTTAGCATGTAATCGTTACTTGTTTAGAAGGCAGTTCAAGCATCCTCTTATTCCTATCACTTCCAGACCTTCTACTTAGGCAGAATCAGTAATGATCTCATTTATCTTCTTGGAGTGTAAGCAGGCATCTCATCTATTTCTACATCTAACTTGTGCTTAATACAGTATGATTATTTTAAGTGTCGCTATAATGTATTTGTCTATCTACTGTGTATACAGTGTCAATTAAACATACAGTGAGTACTAGTGAAATTTGTATGGATATATTGAAAAATCATCTGACTACAAGATACAAAGCACAGTCCTGTGTCAGTGAGTATTTAATGAGAAAAGCAAACTGCGGCAGATGACAGTGACAAAGTGGATGGGGTTGAAGAAGGTCCTACCATTGTTCAGACAGAATGCAGTCACAGAAATGCATCAGTTTAAAGCAATATAGTAAATGAGAAACTTCCTTTAATTATGTACATAATGCCCTTTTACCCCATTACCCTTTTTTTCTCATTCTATGGTTTTGCACTTCTATACCAGCAGTTCTTTGACTCCTGTAAGCATATTAAATAAGTGTTCTGTGTGTCTAATCTTTAAGACATCTTTAATATGTATTAAAATGTGGAAGGTTAAATGGAATCATGTTATTTTATGGAGGCTAAATAAGTAGACTCGAAACTTTAAACATTAGGAAATGCAAATTGGTCATGTCAAAGATGAACATCTCCTCTTCCAAATAGAGTAAGTGATTTCACCTCAGATACAAAATTTTTTATGATCATGAATACTATAGTCTGGCCTCTAATTATAATTAGTGTTGTAAGCCAGCTAGTTTAAAGATTGTGGAAGGAGAACCATAAACTCCAGACTGGCATGTGCTGGGATGTTAGTTCAAAGACCAGTTTGGTCAAATTATTTACGTGTTATTTCAAAATAAAATAAAATAAATAAAAAACAGTGAAGAGAAATAGTTAAGTAGTACATGTGAAGGTCCCTGAGTTCAATGTCCAGTATGGAAGAAAAAAAAGAAGGAAAGATGAGAATCAGTATGTTACTTTACTTGAAGTATCATTACACAAATAGATGCCAATTTTATTGTGTTTCTGAAGTATCTAGTATGCAACAATTGCTCTTTCAGTCTGATTTATGTTGGTGACTAGAAAGGCTGTGTTTTGTCTAACCTGTTTTCTTTCAGGTGCTAACAGATGGGTGAAGTTAGAAACTGTCTTCTAGTGACAAGGTCCCCAGCCATAGGAGCGGAAGACCAGTGTCACTAACTAATTTTGCTACTTTGCATTGAAAAGAACAAGGGTTATTCTATTTGAAATTTAGATTTCTTTTTTATGTGGCAGGGATGTATTCTTAACCTTCAGGACTTGTATACTAAATAGACACATAATCATCATGGAAATATTTTCCCCATTAAAGTAAAGTACTATTAAATGTATGTAAGAATGAAAAAATAAGTTTAAAAAGGTTTTTTCAGCTTCACTTTTATTCCTTTTTGTTCCCTTTGCTATTGTCTGTCAATTTCTACTTTAATTTACTTCAATAGATAAAAATAGGTCAAATAAACATTTTCCCACTGATGTAATTTATTTATAGTACAGCATACTTAAACCAAACATTTACAACACAGTACTACTGGATAGTAAAAAGAAATAACAGTTAGAAAGACACTAGTGTTTTTTTATGAGCTTTCATCTCCATAAGGAAATAAAAACTATCCCAGAATAGAGAAAATATGAGAGCTAACATCATTATACAGATACTAGTAACTTTGTGATGAGAGAAAAAAGAAAAAAAAAACCTTGCCAGATTGCATTGTTGATAACTTATTCCATGACTTTCAGGATTCTGTACTTACAACAACTAATTATGTGCACATTTAAAAAGAAACTAACCAGAAAATGATGTGTAGTGCTTAGCTTTGCCTCAAACAAAGTACAAAATATGCCACGTGTTTGGGTAATGAATTCATTCCTGCCTTTTCCTATTTGTCATTCTGAGAAAGTAGGCATGAGATGACATAGACAGTGTAACAAAATTAGATGAACTAATTTATAGTTGGGGGAATGCTGGGGTATAACACCTACTGACATGTGTTTGACTACTGGTATTATGTTTCTAATAGCCTGACTTGATAAAAATATTCAATAATTAATGTAACCCCAAGTTCTTGATCTATTGAAGAAGAATGAAATAAAAACACATCAAGTAGTATTCAGACACCCACAGTGTAGCATGTGAGATGGCTAGCAGCACAGATTGTTTACTGTTTTGGCAGCAAAACCCATATTCTCTGGAAGATCGGCAAGCATTCTTAACTGTGAAAGAATCTATCCAGCTTCGTGAAATGATTATTGCTGTAGTTGAAATACTAACAACCCTTTAAATTTCATGTGTTAAAACCTTTGTTACTAGTTGGTGGTGCTTTTAAAAAGGGGTTGGATCATGGGGATGTTGACTTCATAAATGCATTAATCTACTGAATTCATAGAAAGCAGGATATTAGAATATGGGGTCTAGTTAAAGGAAATAAATCCCTGGATGTATGACTCAGGATGCTGTACTTTGGTTCCTTTTTTGTTGACTGTCTCTTGTATGTCACAAAGTTGGCAGCTTTGTTCTTCCCTGCCATTTCTCAAAAGCAAACGTTATCATGATGAGCTCAGAAACAGTACAGCCATCTGTGTAGTGAAACATTCAAAACCATGAGCATCTTCTTTTAAATTGTTTTTTTGCAAGCATTTTCGTGTAATCACAGATCATGATTGGCAAGTATATTATTATAAATGAGAATATTAAGCTGATGTTGGATAATGCTCCTGTATACTGTAAATATTTGTCATTCATATTGGTTGAATAAAACTCTGATTGACCAGTAGCCAGGCAAGAAGTATATACAGGGTAACTAGACTAGGAGAATTCTGGGAAGAGGAAAGGCAGAGAAGGCAGTCACCAGTCAGAAACTGAGAAAGCAAAATGAGAATGCCTCACTGAGAAAAGGTACGAAGCCAAATGGCTGCACATAGACAAGAATTATGGGTTAATTTCAGTTGTAAGAGGTAGTTAAGAATAATCTTGAGCTAATAGGCCAAATAGATTATAATTAATATAAGCCTCTGTGTGTTCCTTTGTGACTGAACGACTGTGGGAGTCCCAGGCAGGAGAGAAATTTTCATTTACATTACTGCTTAAGCTTCTACTATGACTCTTGGTGTGTGTGTGTTTAATCAGTATAATTTAATAATAAAGATTGTTGTTTTAAATTAGTTAATTATTTTCAAATCATATTTTCTCATAAAGTGGCAAAAACTTCATATATGTAGTGGGATGGTATTTCTTACTTACCTATAAAGAGCAGACAGTGGCCTCTTGTTTCCTGGCTTTGGTCTATAAGGTTTGGGTTCCCCTGCCATGTTAATATCTGAAAATAAAAGAATAGTATTTTTTAAAAAATAGCACAGAAAAACAATTTGGAAACATTATACCATGGAGCATTTATTTTTTTCTACTTACTTATGCAAATTCTTTTACAATTTTAATTTATTAAATAATTTATCTGTGTGTCTATGTGTGACATTTTACATAAGGTGCTTGTGCATGTTAGTGTGCATGTAAGAACATATGAGAGAATGCAGGTGTGAACATACATAGAAACTGTGGGTCCCCATCTAGTGTTATTTTTTTTATTTCAACGTCACTTTTTTGAGTCAGGGTCTCTTACTGAACATAAAGTTCATCACCTAGGTAATGTGTTCTAGTTAATTAGTTTCACTGAACCCTTCACACAAAAAATGGAATTATGGGAACAATTTTACTTCCTCAGGCCTTTTGTATGGTTTCTGAGGAATTAAACTCAGATTTTCATGTTTGGCAGATACTTTACCAATTAAGCAACTTCTTCATTCTTCTTACACAAATCTTAAATGCTATGCTATCTAAAATGTATGAAACTTCTCTTTTACATGAGATATTATAGGAATTGTCACATACAAAAAAACAATTAGACCTTGATTCTCAGGATTTTATACCCTACTAGGGAAATGGAAATACTAAGAAGAAATTAAAGCATAAAAATATATAACCAATATGAATTTGATGTTTTATGGAAAAAAGTGTTAAACAATGAGAGAAGAATCAAGACGTGTAATGAAAGCAAATATGATATAGCATTTCTGATTTTTAAATTATTTGAGAAATCTCTACAGTTATAAATATTTATATTTGTTAGAGCTTTGTTCTCTAAAGGAGGTCTTAATTTTCACCATCATGTTATCACAATGCTTATTATATTTACTGAGGAAGACACAAAAAGATAACATTTATTTTGTAGCATAAATTGAATGATACATATTTCCAAGTTGGTCACATCTTAACTTCAGTAACTGAAAATGCGACCCAGAGTCTAAGATTGACAAGAGACCAGATAAAGTGATAGTGCTTGCATACAATTGCTAATCTTGTGCTTAGAAAAAATATTAAGCATTGAATAAATTAGAAAATTAGGCTTTAAAGAAAATCCTCTTTAGCTCAGGATGTCCTCAAATTTATGGTATTCCTCAGTCAAGTTTAAGTGTTTGCTATAATTCATCAACAAAATGTCTATTTTAATCAATAGTATTGTAATAATTAGGTACTTAAAAGACAAATTATAAAGCTGAATTCCTACTTTCCATTATTAAAAAATAATATTTAAATACAAAAGGTAAATATGTAAAATTTAAGTGGTAAAAGAATGAGAACTAATTTATGAGCTCAAAATATGGAATGACATCTTAAACAGATATAAAAACACTGTTATTAAAACATAACATTTATGAATTACATTTTATTAAATTAGGATTTTTCTCATATCAATACCCACATAAAGACCACAGAAAGAACAAAAAGCTATTGACAAAGGATTTGTTTCTTGAGTATATGAATATGTCATCTTCGCCACAGTAATATGAGTCAAAACACCAAAAATAAATTTGACAAAAACAACTAGTAACTTAACTTTATAGAAAAAGAATGTGATAAATAAACAAATAAGAGGTTCTCATTTCCATCAGTAATTGGAGATAATTTAATATGAGTCATTAAGTTCACATTTTATAGACCGATAATATCAAGTATTGACCAAGTTTCTGAGCAAGTGCAATGCATATACAATTTATGTATTGGCATAAATTAGTGAAGCTACTTTAAAAATAATTTTGCTGTTTTAAATAACAATGTGTTTAAAACTGAGTCAACAGTTATGGAAGTAGATGAAGAGATCGACAGCCAGGTACTGAGACATGCTACTGGAAGTCCTGTTCAAAAGAGTGAAAACCTACATGGGACAGCTCCCATTGCATGTGAGTGACAGTTGTGTAGAATGATCTGTTTGTGAGACTCATAGCAGTGGGATGAGAACTTGCCCCTGACTCTTGAGAGGCTTTTGGGAAACTACTCCTCATCCTGGGACACCTTGCCTAGTCTCTATGATGGCAGGAGGTTGGTCCTGCCTCAACTTGATAAGCTATTCTTAACTCCTGTGGAAGGTATGCTCTTTCTGAAGGGAGACAGAGGAAGAGTGTATGGGGGGTGGATACGTGGGAGGTGTGAGAATGATACAGGAGGAGATGAAGAAGGGGAAATAAAATGTAAAATAAATGAAAAAATAAAAAAGGTAAGATAAATAGATAGACAAACAGATAAATAGAAGATAAAATCGCATCATGTGAAATAATTGCATATGTATAATATATGACTTGGGAAATAATATTCATTGTGATACACTTACAGATAATAGGACAACTGCTTTGTGCAAGTTTAGAAAAGACATAGTTTACAATAGAAAACTAAAGAGGAGTGGAGAAAGATTTATAGCTACAGGTGACAATATAGCCCTATTGACGAGCCCTAGAATCACAGCACTGAACAAAATTTATATCACTGAAAAACACTGACAATATATCTTTTATTTAAATTAATATGCAAATTGAAAGCCTGCTTAAGAAGAAGTTATAATTGGAATAATGGAAAGAAAATAAGAGGTAAACAATTTATTAATTTACCGAAGAGTAACCTCTAAAAGGGTATGTTTGGAAGGACATGAACTTTGAAATCAAATCATAGAGAATTTAATGAGAGAACATGGATTAAAATCCCGGTATTACACATTTTACAAGTATTTTATGTCTTTTATGGTGGGTAGTGAATCACTAAGAAGTTGAGAATAATAATGACAATATATGTGTTATTTCACACCTGGTTTAATATCATCAGGGTTTAGAAAGCAAATGGATTGAAGCGAGGTTGGGAGCTGATGTACAGGTGGTGGTGGGGACAGGATAATACACTTGGGGTACATTATTGAGTATGAGAAAGCCATTAGAAATGTCAGTAAAAACTAAAAATTTGATTTAACCTGCCTATACTATATGATTCCTCGTTGAGAGTAAAAAAAAAAAGTTAGTAAGTCTTATGTAATATAAAATAAAGCACCGTGAGTGTCGAGACTGTTTATAACTGTCCCTATGTACTGTAGTTGGAAAAAAATTAAAAACTGTAATGATGACATAGGCTGCTTGTTTGGGCAAATATAATTATATTCATTGTATAGCTCTATTTTTGATATCATGATTTACAAAAATGAAAATGTAAAGTTGCCTTCATAAGTAAATAAACATAACAAGTCAGTCAGTGAAAAATATTGTCAGTATCCTTAAATTTTTTATAATGTGTTGTTAGTGGTTCTAAAAATACAGTTAAGAGTTGACAGTTTATTAAAACCAGAGGAAGCCTTTCATGAAAAGCTACTAAATCTGAATTTCCGACATTATTAGTTTCCAATCAAATGTATTAAGAATGCATATGAGGGCCTGGAGAGTTGGTTAAGTAGCTAAGAACATTTGTTGCTTTTGTAAAAGTTTCAGGCTTACCTAACACCCACATGGCAGCTCATAACCATTTGTAACTCCTATACCTGGGAATTTTAACCCGCTTCCAATTTAGATGGGCAAAAAGCATTCATACGCTATGCATATAATGTGCTTATGAAGCATTCATACACATAAAAGAACAAAATAATAATTTAAAAAATTACAAAAGTTCATTTGAATCCTTAGTTTCCTCTTAGCATCTGTCAGCTATTTAATACAGAATTCCCCTTCAAATACATAAAATATATATTTATACATGCATATGTATGAGTCTTCAGTGCTCTATTGACTCTCCCCTAAAGTTTGAGTTTATTAAACAGAAACCAGCATCTCAGTTAATCGTTATGAAGATAAAGCCTTGAAAGAACACAAACGAACTACTCTTTACATGAAAGGACCTGTAGAGTTAGAATATAATGATGTTATGAGAACAATCAAGCTTTGTTAGAAGCCAAAGATCAAATTATGATGCATCAAAAACTATTGATCTTATGGGGATCATAGAGAAGAGCAAATGGCATCATGACCTTGTTGAAGAGATTCCATGTTTGTTCTGGCAATGTGCAAACTACACACAAGCAGAGTACCTGGAAGGCTGAAAAAACTTCAATTTGTATCCACTATCATAAGCTAGGGACATTGAAGTAAATCATTTAAACACAGAGAAATGTCAAAGGTCACTTCTTAGGCTCCTGAGTTACATACAGACTCTTCCTACTAATATTTAGAATTTTTCTTAGTGTGTCTTAACTCTTAATAATGAAACCCTTTTATCTACAGAGTTCATGTTTTAGAGTCACACAGTTGAGTCACACATACACTTTATAAAACTGCAAAAATAAACCACAATAATGTTTTCTGCAAGTTTATGAATTTATGTTTAAAAAACATTTACTTTAAATATCTTTTAGAAAAGACTGTGCTTAATTACTATTGGGTAATTGTTTTGGTATACGCTGCAATTCTCACTTCAGCTTCTGGTCATTGAGTTTAATAAGTACATATATTATTGGATGTCTGAGCCTCATTTTCTAGCTATTAAAATCATATTCTGCTGAAAAGTCCTGGTAAAATCGGGTGACCTTGTGTGTGTGTGTGTGTGTGTGTGTGTGTGTGTGTGTGTGTGTCGCACATGCTGGGTGCACTGCACATGCTCTAGCTGATATTCTCTCTCTTCATCATGCTCCAGAGAGAGGAAGCAGAAGGGAACTCCAGCTTCGCTTCTTCTTAGAGAATGGGGTAAGAGTGTTGCTCCTCACCTGGAAATGGGGTGTTATTGAATTTTGTAATAAGATGAATCACTATAAGCATTTACTAACTGCCCAGCAGAATAGATGTGACATATTTTAATGTAATTTTATTTTATTATTGGTTTTATTAGTTCAAATTAGCATGAGAAAACAGATGAAGTGAAGCTATATTCCAAAACTTTATTTATTAAACCTCAAACTCAAACAACTTCAAAAATCTCCTGATAGTCTAGTTACAATTATACCTCCCATAAGGTAAGCTA